GGGGAGTGGGGGTGGGGAACAGTTCAGCTCGATGGAATCGTTGGCAAAGGCTCAGGGCTGACAGAGAGACGCTCCGTGCTCCGTCAGGGCCGGGAGCTGAACTGGTGACAGTGGCCCCTGGGGCTTCATGAGGACTTCCACAGGCCTGTGGCGCGGGTCCTCGGGCGATTCTTTCCCTGTCTCCAGCTCCCGAGCGCGAGCCCCCAGGCTGAGGAGCACAAGCCTGCCGTGCGGGGGCCTGCCCTTCCCACCGCACCTCCAGTCGCTGGCCGGCCCCAGCGAAGGCCCTGCCTTTCCTGCTCCCCCCCTGAATGCTGCGAGCCCCGCGTCGGGGCAGGGTGAGAACAGGCTCAGACCGAGGACAGTTCAAGGTGTTAGCGGCTGCAAAGGACCACAGGCAGCCCCAGGCGGGGCCACGTGGGCGTCTCCCTGCCTTGTACTTAGTGATGGTTGTACATTTCTATGAATATGTTAAAAACCAGTGAAGTATATACTTTAAATAGATGAGCTGTATGGCTTTTATTTATATACTTCAATTAAGTACACATCCACCTTACGACCCATCAATTCCACTCTTAAGTGCTGAGCCAACAGAAATGGATACATATGTTTACAGAAAGACTTGTACAAGAATTTCCATAGCAGGTTATTCACAATAGCCCCAAACTGGGAACAATCCAATGTTTTGTCAACAAGAAAATGGATAAATTGTGGAATACTCACAGAACTCTTCAATAATAAAAGGAATGAGCTAGTAACACAAATAACATGGATGAATCTGAAAAACACGCTGAGTGCAAAGAATAGAGTCCATATACTATGATTTCATTTATATGAATTCTAGAACAGGCAAAACTTCTCTGTAGCGACAGGAGTCAAAGAGTGGTTTCCTGGGGGGCTGGGTGTCAAAGGAGGTTGGGAATTGATTAGAAAGGACAGTAGGGAAACTTCCAGGGACTTAGAAATATTCTGTATCTTGCTTTGTTGGTGGTTACAGGGATGGCTACATGAGTGTGTGCAACTGTCGAAACACATTGAGCTAAACTCTTAATATCTATGCATTTTACTTTATATAAATTATATTAAAATTTTAAAAAATAATTTTTGTGTTTAGATTTCACTGGATAGATTTAAATTATAATTTTATTTTTAAATATCAACACTTAAAATACACTGGATTTTTGCAGCTTTTCAATCTTTTGATGAAAAATTTTGGAAGTCATTTTAAGAATGTGTAACGGATACAGTTTATCAACATCTTTAGGGGATACTCAAGTAAAAGGTTAGAACTGCAAGTCCAGAGGGGCTAGATCATTTAGAACAACACAAAGAAAAACCAAGCAGGCTAAGCCAGGCAGGCCAGATCCTTGCACCGGAGATGGGCTCCTGAAGACAAGCCTTCTGTGGTAAAATGACAACGTATATGTGGCCCGGAACTCTGCTGTCTGATAGGTCCTATAACACAGATGTTCCTTTGTTTCGTGTAGAGAACGGGTGGAGAACCTTTTCTGCCAAGGGCCATTTGGATATTTATAACATCATTTTTGGGCCATACAAAATTATCAACTTAAAAATTAGCTGTGAAAAAAGCTCCTAGATTTATTGAATTTCGAGTCCCACCTGCGGTTGCCTTGGTAGGGCCGGACCAAATGATTTCATGAGCCATATATGCCCGGGCACCGGACGTTTCCCATCCCTGATGTAGAGCTACCTTCTAATGCACTTGTTTTGCTAATTCAAATATTTTCCAATGGAGATTCTAAAGAGAAGCACGTTTATATCTGTAGAAAAGCATAATATTATCTTATCTCAATGAGCTACTATGGAAAAGTCTAGCCGATGACCAAGATTCTCTCCTTGACCAAGCTCTAGCCAGCCTCCTCTGAGCCCTCCTCTTGACTAGGCCTTAACCTTGACCTGTAACAACTGAAACAAACACTAACATAGTTTCTAACAGCTCCAGGCCACATCCCTATGATGATCTTAGCCCCTCCCCACCTTAGAGTTACTGCCTGAGAAAACTCAAGGCTGCTATAGGGGAGAATTTGTCACCCCAAAATATGTCTTGTTGGCAAAAGGATTAATTTAAGCTGGTTATTTTATTTTATTTTTAAAGATTTTTTATTGATTTTTAGAGAGAGAGGAATGGAGAGGGAAAGAGAGAAACATCAGAGAAAAAAAGAAACATTGATCGGCTGCCTCCTGCATGTCTCCTACTGGGGATGGAACCCAAGACCGGGCATGTGCCTGACTGGGAATCAACCAGCAACCTTTTGATATACAGGATGACGCCCAACTAACGGAACCACATCGACCAGGGCAATTTTAACCTGGTTATTTTTAAGAAACAGCAGATATGGCAGAAGCTCTGAAAATCTGGTAGAAGTTACCCTTTATGAAAGACATTTCCATTCGTCAGAGAAATCTCCCTTTGTGATGGTGTCTCCCTCACTCTACCAGGAGGAGGGGATGTGAATCTCTAGAAAGTGTTACCAATGAAGGAGCCTTGGACTCAAATTTGCATAAAAATCTTACCCTTTTTTAAAATTAAAAAATAACTTTTTTCAATTACAGTTTACATTCAATATATTTTGTATTACTTTCAGGTGTACACACAGTGGTTAGACAAGCATATACTTTACAACGTGTCCCCTGATATCTCCAGTACTCACCTGGCACCATACATGGTTATTACAATATTATTGACTGTATTCCCTGTGCTATACTTTACATCCCTATGACTGTTTTTAACTGCCAATCTGTTAAAAACCTTACTCCTGTTTGCTGTGCTTTTTCCTGGTTACCTCCCATAACTGGCTCCCCACCCCCAACATCTCCTTTTGTCCTTGGTTGAACGTGGCATTTAAGGTGGTGGCTTGCACCATTTTGGGGAGAGTTGCTCAGTTTTCCTGGGTGTTACACAGGAGGTATAGAAGTTATTAAACTTTAATTTTTTTTCTCCTGCTCATCTGTCTCATGTCAATTTGATTATTAAACCCGCCAGACGAACCCAGAAGGGTAGAATAAAATGCTTCCTCCCTGGACGCAGCCAAAAGAATTTGCTGTTTGTTCCAGCCACCACCTGAAGGCAGGGCCCCGTCTCCCCGTCTCCCCGTCTCTGCTGGAGGGAAGGAGCCTAACAGTGAGCAAACCCAGGCAGGTTTTACAGGAACCACCCTCTTTCTGGCTTTCTGTAATCTGTCACTTCTCTGGCTCTCCTGGGGTCCCCCTCGCCCCTCCCCATTACCTCGCTCTCCCTCTAAAGCACCCAGGCACCTCTGTACAAACCGAAGTTGAGCTCAGGCCACGCGGGACACTTTCTCCTGCGGCTGCATTGCACGGATTAAAATGTCCTTACCCCTGCAACCAGGCCCAGCTTTGCTTGTCCCTGAGACTTATTATCAACAGGCGTGAGACGCACTTTGCAAACCTTTGGATGCTCCTTATTTTCAGGAGCTTCTAACAGTAAGAATGACATTGTTAAATGCCACGGAGCGTCACAGCAGGAAGACAGTTTAGAGATGAAGTCGGGCAAGGCCCCCACAGTCCATATACTCACGGTGCGGATAAGCCAGCTGACTGGAGAGTGTCTCTGAAAAAAGGCGGCGATCACATTCTCCCACCACCAGCCTTTATCTGCCGAGTTGAAGAACAGTAAGTACACACACGAATTGCTCCCACTTTCCAAAATTCCTTAAGTCTTGTTTCTTTTCCATAATACAAGCAGATAGGGGACAAAGGTTGGTGGAGGAAGAGTGATTTTACTAGCATCCGGTTTTCAAAGGTGAAGCTAAAAGCACTTTCTAGGCACTAAAGAGTCTGTGTTCTGTGTGTGTGTGTGTGTGTGTGTGTGTGTGTGTGTGTGTGTGACATCTATACACAGACTTCCCTATGCCTGGAAACAATGACAATTATCTTAAATCATTCTATTAATCGCCTCAGGCAAAATAAAATTATGGAGCTCTGAGGAGAGGTGGTTCAGTAAGTACTAGGAAGACCGTAGAGAATATATACCTTTCGGAACTTTAAGTCTGATTAGGGCTCACATTTTTTCAAAAATACAAATTTACAATCATTTCCCTAAATTACTTTTTAACATCTTGAAAGGTATCTGTAGGGGATTTATTTTCAAAGAATAATCTCCATTCAAGAAATAAGCCTTGAACATCTACTATGTCGCTGTTCAGACAGAGCTGCCTCCTTGGGAAGCTGACTCCATGTAAAACGAATCCTCGGGAACCCCTGGTCCTTCCCCCTCCCCCTGGGAGGACTCTGGATGGTGAACGGAGGCTCCAGGCCAACCAGGCTCTGCATTAACCTCCCTCCACCATTCAGTTCTTCCTCAGGGGCAAGGTGCCCTCAATGTTCTATCTACCTTTTAACTCTCCCTGGAGCCGGAGTGCCCGGTATCTGGTCCCTTTGTTCCCCTCGGTCACCCCCACGTTCCTTTTGGAGATGTAGGTCCGTTTCTTAGGGGGTGTGAACAGGTGGTCTGTGGGGCGATCCATTTTTTCCTGCCGCCACCCAGAACTGTTTCTGTAAGTTCCCTGCTAAAACTCTTTTAACTGACAAGCTGGACTTGACTGCTCTCTCTCTGGCCTCTCAGAGAAAGAGGCATTTGGGGGCCACTTTGCTTGGATGGTCTTTTCACAAAACTCTGGAAGAGCCTTGGAATTTAACAGTGAGCAGAAGAAACTAGTATACCGAGGAAAGAGCAGAGAAATAAAATGAAGTCACTTAGTCAAGCTGCTAAATTGCTAAAACCAAGTAGGCTGGGGCATGAGGAAATTATTCTACTCCTGCTTTAACCAGCCAGGGAACGTGAGCTTTTGAACTTTTTAGTAGTGTATCACGGCCCGGGCGGGTAGGTAGAGAGATATAGCTATATCCCATCGATAACCCCGTGAAGAAATTAGGAAAGAATGTCCATGTGTCCAAACAGCCTGACATCCATTATCCAGACCCCTGGCATCTGGAAGATCATCCTCTCCTGCCAAGCCAGAGGCTAAGAATGCAGGACTCATCCTTCCGAAGAATGTACTTTTTACTATAAAAACTCTTCGCTTTTCTTTCTTCAGAACACCCTGGGTATTGCCGAGTTAGGTATCTGTTTGCAAACCTTAAGAACCTTGAATAAATTTTTGCCATTTATTTCTAGTAAAGCCTCCTGACACACGATGCTCAGCTGATCATACCATTAAACAAACAAGACTTGGGTAACTAATAAAGAAAATAAGGCAGGATAATGTAATCATGAGTGACAAGGAAGATTCCTTTAGAGAACACAAGGACAGCCTCTCTGAGTTGCGGACATTTGAGCTAAGATTGGCAGAGGGTCCAGGCAGAAGGCATGGGTGTCAGGGACCTAAGGCAGGAACGAGCTTGGCAGACGTCAGGAAAAGAGCAAATGCTGGCAAGGGAGGGAGGGAGGAGACAGGCGTAAAATGAGGTATAGGAGGTGATCGTGGAGAGTTCTGAGGTCAGAGTCAGGACTTTGGCTTATTAGAAGTGAAACGGGACGTCACTGTAGGTTTTAAACAGAGGAACCACCCAATCATGCTCGCTGCTAGATGAGAGAGAATTACCGAAGGGTGAGACGCAGGGAGGCCAGGTGAACAGGGACTGCAGCAGTGCAGGTGTGGTGGCAGCTGGCCTAGCAGTGAAGGTAGACAGAGCCGGCAGGGACAGTCTAGTTTTGGTGGCAGAGCTCACAAGACTCGGGGGGTGAGGGGTCTAAGGATTCTCCTGGTGCAATCAGTTGATGAGACATGCCATTTCCTAAGACATGGAAAACCAAGAGAAGAACAGATTTGGGTGGAGGCAGAGTGAGGGCAAGGAAAGAAGGAAATAAAAAGTCGAGAGATCCGTCTGATCATGCTAAGTCTGAGCTACTCAGTAGACATCAAAGGGGAGATGCTGCGACGGTGGATGGATCCTCCCATCTGGGCCTCAGAGGAGGTCAGGGCAAGAGATGTGGCAAGAACAACAAATGCTACTACGGTCCTTACTCTGTGCCAGGCATTGCTCTGGGTACTTCATGTCCATTAACTCACTTCATCCTCACAACAGGGATCACCATCCCTGCTTTCCAGAGGAGGAAGCTGAAGCAGACAGGTTAGCACCTTGGTCACGGTCACCCAGCTAGCAAGTGACAGCACCAAGATACGAACCCAGACAGGCTGGCTCTGGCGTCCGAGATCTTAACTGCCAGGGGGTTAGGTGAGGCCCCTCACACTCTGTGCCATCGGTCCTCTTCATGTCCTTACCGGTTCCCAGGGTGGCTGGAGGCACTGTGGCACTCCCAGTAAAGCCCAGAGACTTAATGGAATATCTTATCTCCATTAGACAAGGGGTGCTACTTTATTGCTCAGGCGTTTCAACTCAATCTTAGCAGATTAAATATTTTTTTAATTGATTTTTATTAATTTCAGAGAGAGGAAGGGAGAGGGGGAGAGAGAAACATCAATGAGAGCCATTCATCCGCTGCCTCCTGCAGGCCCCCTGCTGGGGATCGAGCCCACAGCCCGGGCATGTGCCCTGAAAGGAAATTGAACTGCGATCTCCTGGATCCTAGGTCGACGCTCAACCGCTGAGTCACATTGGCAGGGCAATCTTAGCAGATTAAAGTATAGTTTTCATTCAAATAAGGTTTTAAAAAGTTTTTTAAAAAGCTTTTAAAAAGCAGTTTGACAGTATTTAATTAAATATGTATGTTACAGAATAACCGGCATTTTTAAACTGCTCATACCTTAGGTTCTACTAATCAGTTTGTTAAACAATTTGAGCTGCAAAATGATGGAAACAAAGCCCACTTTTTTAATATGCATGTGTTTACAGACATTCTGTGTAAAACCTTAATAACTGTCATGCTGTGAGTAGAGTACCATTTGAGAACCAGGCTCACCCATAGCTGATATTTGAGAAAATGTTGAAAAACACATTAGGATAAAGAACTGATTACTACAGCCCTGCCTGGTGTGGCTCGGTTGGTTGGAAAGTCGTCCTGTGCACCACAAGGTGGAAGGTTTGATTCCTGGTAAGGGAACATAGCCAGGTTGCGAATTTGATCCCTGCTTGGGGTGCCAACAGGAGGCAACCAACTGATGTTTCTCTCTCACATTGATGTTTCTCTCTCTCCCCACCCTTCTCTCTCTCTAAAATGAATAAAAATATATCTTCAGGTGAGGATTTTTTAAAAAAGAACTTACTACTATAGACATTGATATATACTCAACCAGCATCTTCCTGGTGAAGCCTTATTTATGTAAAAAAGTAAGAACAAACCACCCTGCCCAGGCGGCTCAGTTAGCTCATCACCCCATATACCAGCTTGTGGGTTCGATTCCCAGTCATGGCAATACCCAGGTTTCCGGTTTAATCCCTAGTCGGGGCAAGTGTGGGAGGCAAATGACCAATGTTTCTCCTTCTCTTTTTCTCTCTCTTTCTCCCTCCCTCTCTCTAAACATATCCTGAGAAATAACCACAGGAAGTCAATCGGGCTCATCGATGACCAACACCAAACTTTAAGTGACTCCGTGTGATGTCTCTTTCACTCAGCTGAAAGTTCCTGAGGACACACAAGGGTTTATCTCTGGGTTTCCCACACATTATGGAACCGAATGATGCCCCCTAAGGTTTGGGGAATGGCAGTGGGGCTGTATAACAAACAGAGCTTTGGGCCAGGACCCGTGAGCTCAAGGTGAGAACTACCTCCCCCACCTACTAGCTGTCATTTCTTCTCATCACCTGAGTTTCCTCCTCTGCATAACGAATGGGGCTAATACAAGTGTCAGCCTCGCCTGTGTAACAGGACTGTGTGAGGCTCTGATGAGAAAGCTTACGAGAAAGCGCACAGCAAACTGTAAAGTGCTGTAGAGATGCTGCCTGCAGAAAGCCATCCATAGCCTCTAGATTACCGTAACAGCTTCCTAACAGCCTTCCGCTTCCATCTTAACCCAACAGGATTCAGTCTCTACAGAGCAGCCAAAGTGACAGCTAAACATATAAATTAGATCTCTGTTCACTCCCTGGCCTAAAATCCTTAAGGGCCTCCAAACTCCTCCCCGTGACCCTCCCGTGGCCTCAGCCTACTCTCACCTCCAGGCTGTAACCACGCTACTGGCATCCATTGGGAGGGCCTTCCCGCAGCTTCTACAGACCCGGCAGGAGCCTGGCGGCCCCGAGCCAGGCCTTCCCTGCCCCAGCTGTAGGAACCGCTGCCCTTCACGCCAGCCTATCACCCCGGTTTAGGTCTCGCCCTCGTAAGGGCCTGCACGCCCCTTCCTCGCCTGCGAGCCCACAGCCGGTCTAACCCCTAGACGGCGAGTCCCTGCCATCGAGTCCCTGTCATCGAGCGCAGCAGGCGCTCCTCTGCGTCCTGCTGGGTGGGCGAGTGAGGTGCTGGGATAGAGCTGAACACGGATGTGGCTAAAGGCACCTGGGAGTTCGTTTTCATTACCTCGTTCGTCGCCAGAAACCGTAAACTTGTGAGGACTCTGACCCGTCCATAATCCCACATAGCCGATAAAAGTGGTTCCTGTGAAAGCGATCTGAAACCAAGAGAGAAAGTCTCACTTTACCACTCCAGCTAAAGATACTTTGAAGTCACCTTATTTTGCCCCACAATTTCAAGGATTTTTTTTCTTCTAAGGTCCCAATAGAATAAAACCTCTGAAATAGCCTTCCAGAAGGTTTACCCTTGGACAGAATTCCATGGACCTGTGACCTTGGATGGGGGCAAAGAGGCACATCTTTATTTTCACTAACTTCTAACGGAAATTTCACTTCTTCTGTAATGAATACATGCAACCAACCACGTCATCGTAGCAGTGTCGTGATTCCGTCACCAGCAGAAATTGCAGGTATTTTCACATACATAATGGTATCACACCTATCGTGCTGTGCTGTACACACACATCTTAAAATACCATTCATACGTATCACTGCCCTGATATTATGCTAGTTATTAGAACCACTGCCAAATTTTACTATTTAATGTGTTAAGAAAAAATATAATATTCACATGGCTGTATTTCAATCTAAAGGTTTTCTTTGTCATCCCATGCATTTTATTTTATGAATTATAACACATAAGCCTAAGAAGGGATCAGCAGGCTTCATTTCCAAAGGGGCTCCCACACAAAGGTTAAGAAGCCCCATCCTAGAAGCAGCAATATGTGGGAAACCCCGTGTTGTTTGAGTTTTTAATGAGAAAAAGTTTTTGCTTGTAAAAGCAGATGACCAAATGAGTATCTGGTAAATGAATTTTTTATATCTGTGACTCAACCCCTAAATGCAAAGAACGAATGAAATACAGTCCTTGTCTTTAAATGGTGTCCCCCAAAGCCAAAATCTGGCTTTGTCACGTTCTAGTCTGTTTCAGGGCAGTTGCATGCTGTGTACTCAGTGAGCACTGATTAATGCTGTCTCCCTAAAAGTTTACACAGAAATGTGATGATAGTACACATTAGATTATACTTTCAAATAAGTAACGCCACTGGACACAACTCATCAGTGTCCGTTCATTGTTACTAGACCTCACTATAATGAAAATAAAATGGCCTCAGAATAATTTCTTGAAGATCATACATAAAAGAGCGGTGTGGATCAATCATACTTGTAGAGAGAAGGACCGTTGATTATTTGGCCACATTTATCAAGCATCTACCACATGCTTTGCATAGATTTTACTTCACTTAACCTTTATAACTATCTCCATAAAGTAATTGCTAACCTCTCTGAGCTATAGCCTGCAAAATGGGTTTAAGTGAGTCCCAAGGTTCATAAAGAAAGTGACAGAGGCAGGATTCAAAGCCAGGACTGTCACACCCCAAAGCTGGGTGTTTCCAGCCATTATACACACAGCCCCTCCCGATTCCAGAAGCAGCCTGAACATCAGAAGGCAGAGGAAAGAGCTGACGTGGCACCATAAGCGGGCAACCGATCACAGCCTCACAGATTTCCCCAAGGAATATGGATTGACCTCTTCAAGTAGATGCTTCAGAATAATAGATGATGCTTCTTTCTATAAACATAATTGATATAAACCTCTCTTCTGGTTTCATTTTTCCAGGAGTTTGATGTTTTTTGTATCTTGAACTGATAACACATTTAAGTACCAGGCCACCCCCATGATTGCTAACCTGGGTTAGCAAGTCTTGGATTCCTGAATCTTACGCTGTACGGACTATACCTGCCCATTCTTTAAGAACTGCACATCCAAAGTCAAGTTGCGTAAGTAATTCCCAAACGGATAATCCAGATTCCGGCCATGGTAAATGTGGCCTCTGGAGTCTTGAGCCACAATACTGGTGCAGAATCTGAGAAAAGTGAGAAGTCCAACAGGAAGGAATGAGAAAAATGAGAAAGAAGAAAATGAGTTTTTCGTGTTTAAGGTAAGTCTTTAAAGTAAAACACAATTATTATTCCTTACAATGGACACATATGCTATATAATCCTTGTACAAGACTATGGATTCTCAATTCATGATGAAAACACAGTTGGACAGAGCTCATCAGCACTCAGTGTTACTAGACCTTTGCCCTTGGCACACGGCATCGAAAACATGCTGAAGGAGAATTTCATCCTAAATCTAAATCTGAAATTGACCCATTCTGAACTGAACTACTTATTCCTCTGTGTGGCAGCTGTCGTCTGTTTAACGCATTGTTCAAAGCTTGCTCAAGATCACCCCTCTGTTCCGTGAATTTCTCAGAGCGAGTAGAATGGCACGAAACCATTCTGTTCCACAAATGTTTCGTTTCGTCTCCCTGGAAAAATGGTCAACTCTTTAGGGTCTTGGCACTTTTCCTGTCCCCTCCAGAGCTCCTTGCACAGAACTAACAAGAGAAAAGCATCCTTTAAAAACTCTCAGCCAGAGAGAAGTAGTTTGAGGAAAAGAGGAAGCGGTGTGGTAAGATATCTAAATTCTCTGAGGATATGAAATGTTATGTGGAAAAATATTTACATACAGCATGTCCAGTTCTGGAGGGGGAAAAATACGCAAATCCACACAAAACTGAGAGGAAACACCTTGAAGAACTGATGGTCATTTCTGAGTAATAGGATATGGTTAATTTCTTTTCACTTTTCTGTATTTACTAATTTTCTAGAATGATTACACATCACTTTTATAGTTAGGAGAAAACAAGTGTTACTTAAATTTTTTTGTTTTGTTTAAAGAAGGAAGTTTGGTCAGGTTTTAATTTTTTTCTGAGGTTTCTGATCTTAACTTCGAAGAGTTCATGTCAAGGAGGGGACTGATAAAATATGGGAAGTGGCTTCCCTGGTCGGGCGGCTCAGCTGGTTGAGAGTCACCCCATGCACCAAAAGGTCTCCAGTTCAATTCCTGGTCGGGGTGCATACCCAGGTTTCGGGCTCGATACCCAGCTGGGGCACATGCAGGAGGCAACCAATCAAAGTTTCTCACATCTCTCTCTCACATCAATGTTTCTCTTTCCCTCTCCCTTCCTCTCTCTCTAAAACCAATAAAAAACATATATATATTTTTTAAATTGGAAGTAGCTAAAACAAAGTTTGCAGAATCTCAAAGATGATTTTTCAGAATTGACAGATAACAGTACTTCCCTGTCATGCACAAATGTCTTCAAACGAGGCGGCCACAAGCACAGGGGACAATGGGGGCCGGGCTCTGCCTTGGGAGGGGTACTGCGGTGCAGTGGAGACACGGGTGCTTTTAGCAGCAGCTCTGCCCGCTAACCGCGCACCTGACTTTCACCAAGTTGTCCCCGAGGCTTGGTTTCCACATCACAACAGGTAATACCATCTCCAGGGCCTGGCACCCAGTGGGCCCAGTCTAGGGTAGCTAGTCTTATCCTGATTCGAAAAGCCTCACACTCACATCAGAAATGAGAAAAAAACATTCCCTTCGTTAAGGCGAGTGGAGTCTGCCTGTGTTCTGTGTTGTCAGGCAATTCAATATATACCCTAATATCACGTCCCAGAGTTACAATGCTCTTAACAGAACTTTTGCTTCAGTCAGTGACTCCAACAGAAGGCGAAAGTGAACGTGAAAAGAGATTTTTCCAGGGAGAAAGCCACGTGTCAGAATAGGGGAAAGTGGGGGTAGGAGATGAGAACTGGCAAAGTTAGCTTAGCTCAGCTGAAAAGCGCGTTACCAAGCCTGCGTCTTACGCCACTTCCCTAAAGAGAAGTGCGGTCCCCGGGCGCCTTCACGGGCTCTGCCTGTTGTTCTGGGGAAAGGCCGGGGAGGGGCAGTCAAGGGTCATTGTCCCAGTACCTCTTTTCATCAACTTTTGGCAGCCAGAAGCTATTAAATCTGCAAGACGTTAGGAGGTGAGGCTGGTCTGGCAGCAAAGCGATTGAGTCCCGCGGGCAGAAACCAAGTCAAGCCCCTTAACGCCCGACGGGTGCGGGGCCAGCGGCGGCCTCAGGCCCCCTGCACTCTGCCTGGCACGGGCCAGGCCCTCCATCGGCTTCCACGGCTGTGCCCACACTCTATCCTGCCCACTGAGGGCACCAAGGGCGGGCTGGCCTGTGGCCCGGCCCCGGAGAGAACAGCGGGAAGGGGAGCCAGGGCCCCCGCCCACGGCAGACGGGGGCAGGACGCGCCGGGGCCGGGGCCCCCGCACCGTGAGAGGGGGCCGCGGGGCTAACCGGGGGCCCGGACCAGGGTGCGGTTGGTGCCCAAAACCCCTGGAAGGGCAGCTGAGCTGAGTCTGCAGGAGGGAGGCGAGGGGCCCGGCGGAGGGAGGGTCAGCGGTGAGGGCGCAGAAGCGCCCTGCTCCCCCAGCGGAGCGGGGCGGGGTCCTGGGCGGCCCCGCCACCCCCTTCCCGTCGCGGGGACCCCGGGCCCGCGCGGGGGGCGCACTCACGCGGAGAAGTCGTAGGCCAGGTTGACCAGCAGGCAGTCGGCCAGGCCGAGCCTCAGCACCTGGCACATGCCGCGGATCTCGCCGGCGAAGGGCTGGGGCAGGGCGCCCTCCAGCGCGGGCATCGCCTCGCGCATCACCGCGTGCACCCACTTGGGGACCTTGTCCCTGGAAGAAAAAAAGCCACGAGGGTCTGAGCGCGGGGGCTGGGGGGGCGAGTGCCTGTGTCTGGAAAGTTGGGGGCGCCTAAGGCTCTCGCCGCCCTGAGGGTGGCCCCGGCTGCGCCCTTCCCCGGAGGGCTCAGGTGCCTCCTGCGGGCCGCAGCCTGGGAGGAGGGACCTTTCCCAGGGGGACGCCGGGCCAGC